ACCCTTGAATCGACGGATCAAGTTTATCCATAAAGAAGTTTTATGCATCTAAATGTTGTCGCTAAATACAGGATTATCTTGTATGTCACATGAATGCTTCAGAATGCCAGAGGAATACATCAGTATGCCACAGGAATACATCTGTATGCCACAGGAATACATCTGTATGTCAAAGTACATTAATACCCTACGGGAATACATCAATACGCAATTGGAATACATCAGTATAATACAGGAACACATCACTCGTGCTGAAATAATAAAAACAATTACAAAATAAGTTTGAAGGGAACTATGAGGAGAAAGGGCCAAGCCATTACGACTATATAGCAGTATATAAGAGCAGTGAGGCCGAGGGTACTCACCGAGCACGGTGAAGGGCTTGTGAGCGATGGGTGAGTGAGGCGTGATGCTGATGGTGGGTATGGGCGGGATGAAGGCGTCCGAGGCACCCATGCCCAGGCTCTCCGCTGTGATGGAGTCCATGGTAGGGATCTCTGCCATGCGCACTAGGCGACGAGGCGGCCCGTGGGCGTGGGCGGGCTGCACACTCGCCACCACCACCTGTTGCTGCTGCTGCTGCTGCATGCTGCGCTCTTGTTGCTGCTGCTGTTGCTGCTGTTGCTGCTGCTGCTGTTGTTGGTGCTGCTGGTGCTGTTGGTGCTGTTGCTGCAGGAGGTGGTGGTGATGGTGGTGATGATGGTGGTGGTGGTGATGGTGAGGGGATGTGGGGTTGTCCCTGGTAACTAAGGGAGTCCCCGTTGACCCAGCGAGGTAGTTGGTGACAATGTCCTCCTCGCTGTCATCCCCACTCTCCGCGCCCTCGTCTGCTGCAACAAAGGTCAACATTATATCAACTTTACACACCAACCTTCCCTTCCCCCCTCTCCCCTCGCACCATAAACTACCAACCACATCACGGTAATGTAATTAATTTTGTCAATAAAGATGTTAATAATAATAAGGTAATAATCTACCATCTCGATCACACACACAAACACCTCCGCTTTCACACTGTGGACGTCAGTAAAGACTCTCCTCTCAGCACGCGTCTCAGAGGTACACGGCCAGTCTCTCAAGATTGATGAAGATTAAGCCACCCAAGAGGTGGCACGGGCATGAATAGCCCGTAAAAAGTCTCTCAAGGTCGGCCCCTGCCTTGTAGTGTTGTTACTGAGGGGGAAATTCTGAACTCTCCTGGCAAAGATTTAAGAATGAACCCTAAGGTAATTACGAAGAAATGTATTCAGACATTTAACGGGCGCGAAACATGGTAGTCACGATGGCCCTGTGCCAGGGCTGATGGCTGCTGCCTCAGCGGCCCAATGTTGCCTTTTCCCAGGAGTAAATTATCTTGCTAAGATCTGTCACTTTTCTGACAACATCTTAAAATAAGCAAACTCCCCCCTGAGGCAGTTCAAGGGATTAATGTCTTTCCAGCCCGGTCTCTGACTAGGCCTCATGGTCGATATTCTGGGTCAACCAGCCTGTTGGACACCGCTACATACCGCCTTACCATAGCCTGGTTACTTGTGTATGCTTTACAGGCGAGTACCAAGTTCCCTCTTGAAATTGAAATTGAACTTGAACCCTCTTGAACATTCCCTGGGATGCTACCCACAGTGCTTACCTAGTAGCACTCGCGTACCTATTGACTGCTAAGAGAACAGACACATCGGGTGTGAGGAAACGTGCCCAAACGTCACACATCCTGCGCGGGGATCGAACCCGGGACCAATCGCTTGTGAGCAGACTTTCCAAACGGGCGGGTTGTCTCGTGGTCAGTCGGAGTTAACCCCCCCGTTGGGTCTGACGAGTAATGTGATTAACCATCGTTTGTGATTAAAGTATTCCATCAAGTCTTCAGTAAATGTTCACTCCTTAGCACTCAACAATTATACTTGCAATAGCTTAACAAATGAAGGCAATTATTTTGATAGTTTTAAAATATTTGTAACAAAATATGGGACCAAAAATCTACGAAAACAATCTAATACCCTATATATATATATATATATATATATATATATATATATATATATATATATATATATATATATATATATGTCGTACCTAGTCGCCAGAACGCACTTCTCAGCCTACTATGCAAGGCCCAATTTGCCTAATAAGCCAAGTTTTCATGAATTAATTGTTTTTCGACTACCTAACCTACCTACCTAACCTAACCTAACTTTTTCGGCTACCTAACCAAACCTAACCTATAAAGATAGGTTAGGTTAGGTTAGTTAGGGTAGGTTAGGTTCGGTCATATATCTACGTTAATTTTAACTCCAATAAAAAAAATTGACCTCATACATAATGAAATGGGTAGCTTTATCATTTCATAAGAAAAAAATTAGAGGAAATATATTAATTCAGGAAATCTTGGCTTATTAGGCAAATCGGGCCTTGCATATTAGGCTGAGAAGTGCGTTCTGGCTACTAGGTACGACATATATATATATATATACAGTATATATATATATATATATATATATATATATATATACAGTATATATATATATATATATATACAGAATATATATATATATATATATATATATATATATATATATATATATATATATATATATATATATATATTATATAAATATATATATATATATATATATATATATATATATATATATATATATATATATATATATATGTCGTACCTAGTAGCCAGAACGCACTTCTCAGCCTACTATGCAAGGCCCGATTTGCCTAATAAGCCAAGTTTTCATGAATTAATTGTTTTTCGACTACCTAACCTACCTAACCTAACCTAACCTAACTTTTTCGGCTACCTAACCAAACCTAACCTATAAAGATAGGTTAGGTTAGGTTAGGTAGGGTTGGTTAGGTTTTGTCATATATCTACGTTAATTTTAGCTCCAATAAAAAAAAAATTGACCACATACATAATGAAATGGGTAGCTCTATCATTTCATAAGAAAAAAATTAGAGAAAATATATTAATTCAGGAAAACTTGGCTTATTAGGCAAATCGGGCCTTGCATAGTAGGCTGAGAAGTGCGTTCTGGCTACTAGGTACGACATATATATATATATATATATATATATATATATATATATATATATATATATATATATATATATATATATATATATAATATATATATATAATATATATATATATATATATATATATATATATATATATATATATATATATATATATATATATATAGGGGAGTACCACCTCTAGCTGGAAGAAGGGGGACCCATAGCCTCGGAGGAAACCACGCATAACGCATTAGAGGGAATGTTTAGATCCCCTCCAATACAGTTTCTGTGTGCTTTTCTCCTACCACCCCCTTCCTTTTTTATTTTTTGTGCTTTATTATGCATTTGATGGTTACAAGATATACATCTATATATATATATATATATATATATATATATATATATATATATATATATATATATATATATATAAATATATAAATATATATATATATATATATATATATATATATATATATATATATATATTAGATACTAACCTAATTTATAAAATAAAAAATAGTCTGAAAGCAACAACAACAAAAAGAAATAAAAATCAATAGCGAGGAAGCCTCGAAATAGTTGAGTTTGCGTGGCCTGATATCTACCGTTTTCTGCGATGTATTTCACAACTGAGAAAATGGGATTTTCATCCGTAAGGGGTTAGTTGGTTTAACAAAACAATACGAGTCAAAAACATTTAAAACGTGTGAGGTGTCAGAAATGTGTTCATAATTACTTGGTTATATTATATATCAAAATTACTCAAAGCAACAACAATTTATCTCATATAATTTCATACACTCGCTAATCGGATTAATTTAGAGTTAGGCATAAGGCTTATCAACGCCTAGAGTGAGTCGCTCTACATCTAGTGTGTGCTAAGACCATCACACGGGCTTACTGACTAGGTATTAGGTACACTTCAGCGCTGAACTGTTTAAGGATTAAGTAAACTCTCAGTATATATATACACCGACACATGGGGTTACCTTGAGGTGCTTCCGGGGCTTAGCGTCCCCGCGGCCCGGTCGTCGACCAGGCCTCCTGGTTACTGGGGTTCACCTACCCGTATACTCCTGCCTGTCTCGCTCTAGCAGAATAACTGCAGTGTGTAAGGTCCAGACAAATATGAATTCCAAGTGCTTTCGCTACGAACTGCAGCTAGTTCTAACATTCACGTTAACGAATTTAAACATAAATGGTTTATTATTATTATGGTTACTCTTAATATTGTTGTGTGTGGGGGGTGGAGAGGGGTTACAGATGAAAGGCTCACCTGAGAAGAGATGATAATATTTGTGTTAAAATAGCCTGGATGTGTCACAAAGAAATGATTTATAATTTATAATATTCTGGAGAAATTTTTGCACCAAGATAAGCACCTCCAAAGGATATCTGATCAACCAGGTTGTGATTCGTACGTCAGGCTGCGAGCATCCAAGTCCAACAGCCTGGTTGACCAGTCCAGCAACCAGGAGGCCTGGTCGGCGACCGGGCCACGGGGACGATAAGCCCCGGAAGCACTTCAAGGTAACCTCAAAGTAAGATTATAACCTTTGAATTGTCTGAATGTCTATTGCAACTTATATGTATGTACCTAGTCATAAAAGTATGTGTGTGTGTGTGTGTGTGTGTGTGTGTGTGTGTGTGTGTGTGTGTGTGTGTGTGTGTGTGTGTGTGTGTGTGTGTGTGTGTGTGGTATCATACAGCATGTGTAAAAGAAGTTCAGTACAACGTTTATGTATTAAAACGTTGTACTGAACGGGGTGAGAATAGCTTGAGCTACCTCATCCCTTTGTGTGTATTTATACCTCAATAAACTTGTTTCAATCTCAATTCACCAGTGTGTGTGAAGAGGTACAGAGGAGGGACTCACCTGAGGAGAAGGGCGTGGGGCTGAGGCGGTGCATACAGAGGAGCTTGTTGTCCTTAGACCCCTCCATGACCCTGGCTCACCGCATCCTAACCTGAAAGAGACAATTAGCATTACTTCACTGTCTCTGCTCAAAACATCAAGGCGTTACCACCTTCACCAACGCAGCACATTTATGCCAAATTTGTGTAAACATAAAATACGGAAACCAATATCGAGGACGTAGGAGAGGATGCGGGTTCCATCCCATAAAACGACCGCTAATATTTTCTCACAGAAACATGAAGTTCTTGTGATTCCATTGAACAAGGCAATAATTCAGACTGGATTCTTCGACCACAGCCAGTATATAGAATAGTACTAGTGAAGAGTAGAGGTGCTATAGGAACAGAGAACACTGTCTGAACATCAGAGGTCCACAGCTGTTCAACACCCTTCCAGCAAGTATTAGAAATATTTCTGGAACAAAGGTGGATGTATTCAAGAGGCACTTAGATAGGTTTAATACCTTGATATCTGTTTGATGGGGGTTCTGGAAGTTGTTCTACTCCCCAAGCCCGGCCCGAGGCCAGGCTTGACTTGAGAGCTTGGTGCACCAGGCTGTTGCTTGGAGTGGCCCGCATGCCCACATATCCACCCCAGTCCGATTGGTCAGGCACTCCTTGGAGAAAATTATCTAGTTTTCTCTTAAAGATGTCCACGGTTGTTCCGGCAATATTTCTTATACTCGCTGGGAGGATGTTGAACAACAGTAAACCTCTAATGTTTATACAATGTTCTCTGATTGTACCTATGGCACCCCTGCTCTTCACTGGTTCTATTCTGCATTATTCTATTCTATTCTGTAATAGAACAGTGTACTGTGGTTCTATAATAGAACCATTGCTCTATTTTTATTCTACAAAGGTTCTTGCAAGAAGTGCCAGACCAACCGAGTTTTAGTGGATATGCGGACCTGCGGGCCGCTCCAAACAACAGCCTGTTGGACCAAGTTATCAAAAGTCGAGATTGGTCTCAGGTCGGGCTTGGGGAGTAGAACAACTCCCAGAACCCTCTCCAGGTAGTATCCATCCGTACTCTATCCTTCCTTATCACTCCTACCTCGACAACAGTTGCGTGCAAAACTTGTTTTTCCTGACTAACATGTTGCGTAAGTATAGCTGGGGGATGGTGGGGCAGTTACCATCCATCCACCTGAAAAAGCATTCCCTAATTGCAACACTCCCAGGGGCCAGATTCACGAAGCAGTTACGCAAGTACTTACGAACCTGTACATCTTTTCTCAATCTTTGGCGCCTTTGTTTACAATTATTAAACAGTTAATGAGCTCCGAAGCACCAGGAGGCTGTTTATAACAATAACAACAGCTGTTTGGAAAGTTTTCATGCTTGTAAACTGTTTAATAAATGTAACCAAAGCCGTCAAAGATTGAAGAAAGATGTACACGTTCGTAAGTACTTGCTTAACTACTTCGTGAATCTGGCCACGGGCTATTGCACAAAACCATCGGCATCGATGCACACTTTTAAATATTTAATGTGCTATAAAACAAGGAATTTATCATGCTCTCTTTCACTCGAAAAAATTATCATATTTTGGAAGCGTCAGTAGCGAGCACGATAACCTACTCGAGATGATCCTCTCAACAACAGCACGACATCCTTATCAAGATAGTAAGGACTGATTAGACAAGTAACATCATCAAGATCAAGTATCCTCACTACTAGGTGAGTACAGGACTCGAGTGAACAAATCCACAAGGGGCCGTGGCGAGGGTTCGAACCCTCGTCATTGATACAGGACTCGCGCCATGTAAATCGTCGCTGGACTCGACCCGTTTACATGGCTGCACACATTAGTAAAACCAACGCGAATGATACAGCTTTTGTTTAGAGGCAAAACTAAATGAAACGTTGTAAATAATAGTTTTGCTCACACAAAATCCGGCATCCAAAATATTGGTAATAAATATATCCAATTTTATATATTTACCAGACGAGCTGCCCAGGAACACCTGAGCTGTATCTGTGTGCTTTTTGTCTCCCTGTTCCTGCCTGCCAGCCTGCCAGCCTGCCAGCCTGCCAGCCTGCCAGTCTATCTGTGTGTGTATTCACCTAGTTGTGTTTGCGGGGGTTCAGCTTTGGCTCTTTGTCCCGAGAGGCAGAGTCCTCTGTGTGTGTGTGTGTGTGTGTGTGTGTGTGTGTGTGTGTGTGTGTGTGTGTGTGTGTGTGTGTGTGTGTGTGTGTGTGTGTGTGTGTGTGTGTCTGTGTGTGTGTGTGTATGTGTGTGTGTGTGTGTGTGTATGTGTGTGTGTGTCTCCCTATCTCGACACCACCTTCTTGCAACTCACTCTTTGAAATACCTTCTTTTTTGTTTTTTCTGTATCTCTCTCTCTCTCTCTCTTTCCATCCTCTATATCACCTCCCTTACTCTATTTATTCTCTATTTACTCTCTATCCCCCCCCACACACACACATCCCAGCCCCCCCTCTCCGATTAAACAAGTCCCCCCGACCCCCCCAATACATTCCATCCATGTTGCCGCCGCAGTATTCACGGTAATTAGCGCTGACCCCGCCATGTATCAGGCTTCAGGCTCCGTATAATTCCCAGTAGATCACATGACCGAGGCTGCTGAGTGCGTCCCTTCATGACAACCACCAGTGTTCCAAACACCAGGACTAAGTACACGCAACCTCATGTGCTCATCGCTCCCACACCACACAATTCACATCAGTGCTGTTTATTAACAAAGATACGTTTAAATAACGATGAAACTGGTGTCAATAACACTTCGACAAACGTCAGGTCAGAATTAACTGGTGTCCAAACATAATTGGTCTTCAACATCAAGAGGCCCGAGACTGTTCAACACGCTATCACTACACATAAGGGGCATAAGTGGCCGACCCCTCACAGTGTTCAACACACACACACTAGGCCTAATACACGCTATCTTCGGCTTAATATAGAGCATGTGCTATACTAGCCCTAAGAATATTTAAGTTCGGTTTATTATTTTAATATTTTCCGGAGCCTTATAAAACTAATAGGGCAATATGTGGGTTACTGGCGGTCTATCACTACATATTAGTACTGACGACCAAACAGTTACAATAAGTACTATCATTTCAGGAGGCTGGGCTCAATTCGATACATAGTTTTAAATGTAAGTAAGATAAGAAAAATGAGTCACTGCTTTGTACTAATGAGGGTGGAAAAGAGGGAGGGGAGGGGGGGTGGTTCAAGAGCAGATGCTTGACCCTGCAAGCACCACTAGGAGAGTACACTCCTCGCTACACATTAGCAGCTACACCTACACATGTAGAGCGTGTCACGTGTGTGCTGTTTACAGTTCTGGATGTCATACAAATAGCCTCGAAGTGGAAACATCTCCCAGCCGTTATTATACTGAAACACTCCGACTTTATTGATGAATTAAAACCTTAAACAACGCTAAATATGCACCTGACCCGCCCACAAGGGTCAAGTCAAATAATTAGCTATTTTAATTTATTAAAATAAATATATAAATCAGTCACTATTACGGGGATTGTTGTTTCTAATACTTTAATTCGATTTTCGGAGCGATTCCAGAGACCAACCCATTTATTAATATAACATTTACTCTGCATGTAAACAAATATGGCTGCCTCTACATACGCCTAAGACCCCGTATCATAATATCGAAAATATTTTCATTTGATATTTTTACCTAATGGGGTGCGTCGTGCCTGGAAACAATATTTCAGGTGAAACTCAAATAAGTCAACTTTGCGGTAAGACGCATATCTCATAGGTTTCCGATACAAGTCTGGCTCCATGATCATCTACACGCATTACACTCAGCCAGTGAAGCCACCCGGGTGAGCGCCTTACCACTCACTCCCTCTTGACACCATTAACCTACAGTTAACATTATCACACTTTAGCAACACCATTTACCATTACACACACCTGCTAATTACTTGACTCCTCTGGAAGGGCCACGTTTGGTGTTATTAGTTCCTCGATAACCAGAGTGTATCTACACAAAGACACCAGTGAGTTATTCCCTCTGTGGCTGCTTCCATCACACCAGTAACTTGTGTTTTCATCCTACATATGTTGACCAAAACCACTCACTAGAAGGTGAAGGGACGACGACGTTTCGGTCCGTCCTGGACCATTCACAATCGACTTGAGAATGGTCCAGGACGGACCGAAACGTCGTCTACCGCTCACAGGATGAGTATGGGGTGCACAATAAACTCAAATCAATCGTTGTCCCTTCACCTTCTAGTGTGTGGTCTGGTCAACATACTTCAGCCACGTTATTGTGACTCATCGCCTGCATCCTACATATCAGCACCCAGTGGCGAGGTTGTATATGATATAAAGCTGAATGTAATGTGTGATTTTGGCTGTATGTGGGGCAAAATCCCGTTTAAAACGATGAGGAACGGATTCAAAAAGATTGACAGGAGCGCGGCTCAGGTGACGATGGTGGGAGAGTTGTTCATCCTTATTTTTCAACTTCGTTTGTTTCATCTCGACCCTCCCACCTCTCCAACCTTTTACCATTACTTCAGAGTCCACCCCACCCTCATTTTACGCCACTTCGACCCCTTTACACTCCTTCAACCTTTCCATATAATCAACTTTTCTTGCCCTCTTTATCCAGTATTCTTTTTCACCCTCTCATCCCTTCCTCTTTCCTATCTTCCACCCTCTCATCTTCCCTCCTACCTTCACTTATCCTTTTTCTCCTCCCCCATGTCTACCAATTCTCCCGGGAAGTATTTGAATATCTCCAACACGTCCTCAGACCGCAGGCAGCGGCGCCTAACAGCCTAGTTGGCCAAACCGCCAATCAGGTGGCCTGGTCAGATACTGGACCAGGAGAACACTGATTCCTTGAGTCGACACAAGAAAAGTGCAGTTAAGTACACAAGGCAGGTGGCCACAGTCCCGTGTATTGTACAGCTCACGCATATCACATATACAACACCATATATCACGGGACTGATTAATAAGAGCAAGTTTGTGACCTCTTTGTATTCAGACTTGGCAACCATGACAACAGCAACCAGATAAACAACATCAAGGTGACCA